AAAAATGCCACCTATATGACGAGTCTTCAGAATAACTTGAGGAGATGCAAGACGCCAAAAAGATACCAATAAACATTCAATCAATTCAATCCAAAGCTGCACCAGCCACATATAACCATAAATCCATCGTCAAAGGCAAATAACGGTTCTAACAATACAGTTCAGTTTATAAAATAAGAAGTAAAATCAGTTAGTGGCCTGTAGTTTAGAAATCGGCAAAGCTTCCATTTGGTTAAGACTCCTTTGTCTGTTACCTCTTTGTATTGAAAGAGGAATGTGGTCAATTCCATTGGCTTGCAGTGTAGAAGGGCTACCATTATGAAAATCCAGGTGGTGCTGGCCGTGGGGTAATTAATTTTGCTCGTCCGCTAATCTATCCTGCAACCTTGCTTTTGTTCTACCAATGTGAAAAACTTTGCAGCTGGAATACTCTCGCCTATGAGCATATATTTCTCAAAACACAATCGAATTTCATGGATTCGACATTTTAGATTTGGTCTTTTTCAAATGTTTAATTGGTTTAGACATCATTTTATTGCACTGTACTCCACATGTTTTGAAAACGAGACTGTACTGCGTGTGTTGTTTGAGGAGTGTGGGAGTGACCCTGCACATGTCTTTTAGACAGATGTATTACTACTGACATGTGACCTTTCCTAGAGCGAGCGGTTAGTGGGCTGATCCTGGAGCCCGCTTGGACTCCCGCAGCAACCTGTCTACTGTGATGATGTGAAATTTAGGCCTGCTCCACCACGAGAGATCGTACATACATTCTTGTCATTACTGTCATCACTGGGCTTGGTGGTTAATTATAGCAGTTTTTATATCAGTCGTTAATGTATTTTCAGTTTTCAAATCAGTTTATAGCGAGTGGGAGAAAAGGTTTTCACAGTACTTCTGCACTCACTTCTCCATTTACATGATTGGGTTGTTAAAGTAATCAGGAAAAGGAAATGCATTTATTTTCGTTAACAGCTTTCAGCGGCTGTCTTGAGAGAGCAGCGCTAGGTAAAATGTTTGTGCATGCATTTGACAGAGGCTGGGTGAGTGAGTGCATGCACCACTCGCTTTTTGTGATTTTCATGTCTTAACCTTAATGCCACAGTTCAGCCGTGTAGCCTTTGGATAGCTCCCAGGATTGACGGAGATTAAAGAATCACAGGATGGAGTGACGTGTCTTCACTTTGCTGAATATCTCTCCAGAGCCTAAAACGCCTAAATTTGGTATTTACAGTGAAAGGCAAAAAAAAACAAACCCTGAAGTGACTGAAAATGGGAATCCTTAAGACAAAGGGGAAAAAGTAAACAGACTAGGAGAGGGTGGTGGTGGGGGGTTTACACAATAGTTTGTATTGATTCAGCATACTGCAGGGGTACAGAGGCACTTAAGTAATGCCAAGCCAAAGAACAGTTGATATTGATGCTCTGTTCTTTGTTTTTCAGCTGCTGCTTTGGCTTAGTTGCAGTAACACAGTGTTACATAATTTAACATTTGTTGTAATACCTACCATTTGGTGCACAGTATGTATTACTTAATCTCTTTTCTTTTTCCTTTTTGTCTTTCTATTATTTTTCCTCATTTTTTTAGAAATTAAAAAAGTAAGTAAATGGATAAATATACTATTAAGTCAAAAGACTAAGAAAAACTTGATAGAACAAAATGCAGATATTGGTAAATTAGTGCTGTTGTTGAAGTGGTTAAAAATGTCAGCACACAGACTGGTGAGTATGCCAGAAAAGAATTGCAGAGGCCTTAAAGGTCATCAAAAGTTCCAGTTCTTAAATTTCATCTGGTCTCATTGGCAGTTCCAAGTTTCCATTTTCTCCTCTAATATTTTGTCTTCGATCGCAGTGGTTGTCAGCCTAAACTGTGATCCATATGTGCATGTGATCTCATTTTTGTTATTCGTTGTTTCCTATCAAAGTAATTTTCTGGTGACCCCTTATATTCATTTCATGACCCACTGGGAGCCTCGGTGTAAATACAGCTGATCTAATACATGGATTATCACAAATTCTATAGACATTTAGGATTCCTACTGACTTAAGTGATCCCCTAACTAAGCTTCATTACCACATTTGTGATTTAACAATTCTGATGAAACTGAATACAAATCTTCACATCATGCTCAGAATAAATGCATCCTAAATTCTCCATCCAGGGAAATGACTTTGAGTCATGTCCAGAGATTGCAAAATTAATGATATTCTCAGCAGCCTCGGGTATACTCTGTTTCTCTCAGTTAGCAATATTAGCATGTTAAAAATGTAAACTCAAATATAGAAATGGCACCATCAATTGGGAGAGGTTAGAATCAAGACTGACACTCTAGGCAAGGGGATTTAACACACTAGAAATTCCACATGGAGTGTATTTGATGGTTTGTGGTTCTTCTTGAGTCACTGATTTTTGCTCACTCTGATTGCTTTTGAATGGTAGTATTTAAGGTCAGCCCTGGGGGGGGGGGGGGGGGAAGAAAAGCTTCACAGGCTTTGTAGTCTAGAAGTCTAGATGTTTACAAGTAGAGCTGCCTTATTAATCAGAGCTTTCCTCTGGACACCTGTTTCACAAGCCTTCACTTTCCTTTCAATATCTGCAGCCCATCTTAAAGTAATCGAATGGGTACCTTACAAGTGCATTAGTCTTTAGGAGGACCATTTTCATCACAGTGGGTATGAAAACGCTTATCTCTCTAGACTGACGATCTAGCATTAATTAACCAGTGGATACCATACTTAATGGTCTCTGTGCAAAAATAACTATTTTACCATTGTTTTATAGATGGAGCACATAAGATAAATTCCATAAACTGGAAACTGAACTCATTTTGAAACATGTTGATAAAGATTTCAAGATTCCTTTCGCCCTTTTAAGTCCAATTTCCCTCCTTTGTTGCGGTAATTTACTGTATCCAAGCTTCAATCAGATAAAATGAAGCTGACTCAGTCTGAGTTCCAATGTGCTCCCAAGTTTAAGGATAATGGTATGATGTGGCACTTTTACAGTCGTGCCACAGTGATAAATGTGTGTGAAAGGAGTGAAGAAGTGGGTGGTCTCCTTCTTAAGCAAAGGGTAATCTCTGTCCAACTCTCAGGAAAAATCCGTCCATGATGAATATAACATAACACGATTTCCCTAAATGTTACCATAACATAAAAATTATTGAATAATGAATCATTCTTGTTTTTTTCTGTACAGCCATTCTCCAGGTCAGGGCTGTTGTGATGGCTTTACCATACACACTGCTTTTCTGATTGCTTGCCTTTTTGCCTCCACGTGTGCTGGGTTTGGATTATTATTGGTGCTGGGAATAATGAGCCAAAACCTAGGTGATGGCTTGGGTTTAGGAAATATTATTATTGGCAGCAGAGGAAGCATCACGTCATCCTAATCAGAACTCTTCATGTGGGCTGCAGGTGTGACAGAGATTGTTTAAGCTGTTGCAACATCAGAATTGAAAGTTAACTTTTGCACTTTCGAAGCTTCAGTAGATACTAGTTATGAGTGGACTGTCCCAGCAACAACACCTTGAATTGTTGGAGAATTTGTTCTGTTGATGTCATCAGGTAGCTGTGGTTTTACTGAGCTCAGTGCAGCATGCACACAGAAAGCTTTTGCACCTTTATTTTAGAGTTCATGCATACATTCTGTGCAAACCACAGTCAGATGTTTTTTTTGTAATATATAGGCATTATGTAGAGCTTCTGAGTAGGTGTGAATGTGGTAGTTGCATTGTCAGTAAATAGTAACGTGCCAGACATGGCAGCTGGAGGCTCATATAATGTTATCACTGGATCGCCTGCGCTCACTTTTTTTTGTTGCAGTTTACCTAGATGAAGAACATTTTCTGCAACAAAAGTGACAACCATTTCTGGGAGCCTGCAGAGCTTCAAGCTAGAGGTCTGCGCGGGAATGTTTTTTTAGTCCCGCTCCCGCCCGCTCCCGCAAGGTTTTGTACTAGAGGTCTGCGCGGGAATGTTTTTTTAGTCCCGCTCCCGCCCGCTCCCGCAAGGTTTTGTACCGCACCCGACCGCTCCCGCTGTATATTCAGTCTTTGTTCACCCGCTGCCCGCTTAGAATAATTTTCTACCCGACCCGACCGTTCCCGCTAAATTTAGATCTGGTTTCCAAAATCTCACATTTAAATGGGGTACCACCAAAAAATAGAGATAACAGATAAAACTGCAGGTTGTGCAATGATTGTATTATCAGTTTAATGAAAAAATGTCCCAATGTCGAATTCAAGGTCTCTCCTACAAAAGAAAATATGCATATATAAATACAACAATAAACGACATCTCAAAATTATAAAAATATCTCAAAAAGCACTGATCCATGCGCTCAGTGCAAAAAGTCACTTAAAATTGTAAACAAAAGAACAAAATAGTTGGCCACTGCGAAATTAAATGGTTGTTTAAACTATCAGTTTACGAAAAAATGTCCCAATGTCGAATTCAAGGTCTCTCCTACAAAAGAAAATATGCATATATAAATACAACAATAAACGACATCTCAAAATTATAAAAATATCTCAAAAAGCACTGATCCATGCGCTCAGTGCATGTAACAGGCGTGAGCACTGGCTGTACCAGTGCTCAATTAGAATGAGGAAATCACAGATATGCTGTTCCGAAAAAATGTCGGGCACGCTATATTTTCAGACCGCGCGCTCCCGTTCAAATTACACCAGAGTTACCGACCGCTACCGCATTTTATTTGGAAATTTATTCTCGCGCCGCAAGTAATCTGGTCGCGGGAATGCAGACCTCTACTTCAAGCGCAATGATGCCATCCCTACCTGCAGCTTGCTGTTTTTTACTGAATAGTTTCTCACACAGTATACCAGTTGCTTTTGAAAATGGATGACCCTGTTTGTGCTTTTATCCTGATCCTTAACATTAACAAAGAATAAGTGTAAAAGACTGAAGACGTTTCCAGAGGTGCCATGTACTCAATGTTTCTGGATGTTATTGCTTATCCATCTCACTCTCTCTCTTAGGTGAAAGCCCTAACCCTGTTTGTAACCCATTATCCTCCTCTGTGTGAGCTGGAGCGGGTGTATCCTGAACATGTGTCTAACTACCACATGGCTTTCTTGCTCAATGAACCTGATATCTCTGCTGACACTGATGGTATGTACACAGTTTTCAGTGTTTTCATTAATTTTTGGTTTCCCTCTTGCTTCGAATGATTGGAATGATTTCAACTTTGGTCATTTGCAAATGCTTGACACTTTAAGATTGTAATATATTACGTGTATATGATGTGCACTAACAGATGGAGAAGTTCAGCCAGAGTTCATTACCTTCTTATACCAGTTAACTGAAGGAGCTGCAGGGCGGAGCTATGGTCTGAACGTTGCCCGACTGGCTGACATCCCAGATCCTGTACTGCTCACTGCTGCTCACAAAGCCAGAGAGCTGGAGAAAGTGGTCGACGCTAGAAGGTACGCGTTCACATTTAACCATTTCGTAAAGGCATGATTCCACTTAAATTACACATTGAGATCAGTTTAATAGTATGAGGATCAATGTATGCTGTAGTTCTGGAGTAGATTCTAAAAGGATTCAATTTTTTTCAGCTGAAAACCTACTTTAGAAATTAGCATGGAGAGTCAGAATGGACACATCCCAACCTTTAAACAATGCAGTAACCTGAATTTGTTCAGCTATCAGTGGGGTGGTGAAATCCCAGAGGTACAATTCATGTAACAGATATGTGTGTGAAGGTTTACAAGAGACCAAAAACTGTGGAAATAAGCCTTTTGTTCCCAGATGATGTACACTTGTGGCACTATTTATGCCTGCTTTGATTTTTTTCAAATGATTGGCACCCCTGTAGTGTTGCTAAATAACCTTGCTTTTTCCCCATGCAGGGGTAAAGTGAGACTGCCAAGTTGAATTATGGGAATTTTAGAAACCAGTGTTTTTGGAGTGTCAACTATGTTAAGAACTAAAAGGCAGAAAACCTGAGCTTCTGCTGCTATTTTTTTAAGTAATTTTTTTTTACGTCCTCTAACTTTGTGTGAGTGTGATTCTATTTTGTTTGAGTATCCTGTAAGTCTTCCAATACAGAGTTTTATGAAAAAATAGAGCCTGGAAGCTGAAAACTAGGGTTGAAATGTGTGCCATGAAATAATAAAACTCAAGGGAGCTCTACAGACATGAAACTGAATGTTTTCTTCAGCTTCAACACTCAAATGAGCTAGATTTTATACTTGGGCTGCCACATCTCAATCAGAAAATGTACCAATATTCTTGGAAAATCAGTGCAGACTTTGTCCCCTTCATCAAGACAGGGAAACCTACAAGCAAATCCATGGCAGAATATATATAGCCAGTGCATAAATTTGAAGAAACTGGGGGGGAAAAAGCCTTAGTCACAGTTTGTCATATGTCCAGTCCTATTTTCCACTGGATAATTTTATTGGACACTTTCAGAAAGGAATTGAAAATACTGTGTTCCTTAATGCTTATGCAGAGAACTTTCTTTTAGGATCAAGATCAGAAAGATTTAGCCTACAATCAAGTTAAAAAGTAGAAATATGACCAATTCCAAGTTTTTTCTTTTTGTTTTTTGCAAGCAAATTATCAGCATATTGCACATTTTTCCAAAAGCAGTCTTCTGTCTCTGTAAATTTGTAAAACGCCACTATCCTCGCTGTGTAACAGACAGCCTGCTGGGAGCTGAGTGTTGCTTAGCTTCCTCCAAAGTAATTCTCACATTATGAAATATCACTCACACAACGCCTGTCAGAGTAATCCTCCCTATATGAAATGTTTGTCCTCTGTTTGAGCGAAGCCAAACAATGCACAATAATCACGCACAGAGGAGTTTGAGGTGCAGCTTGCAGGTTAGGAATATGGATTTTATTGTACACAGCTATGTGTGAGGGAACAGTGTGTTTAGACTGTAAGCATATTGGGCAGTGTGAAGACAGGCAATGTTGTACATGCAATACTGTGTGAAACATTTAAGTCTTTGTCTCTTTCTCTTTAGAAAGAATAAGAAACTTCTCTCAGATCTTTGGAGGATCTCCGACAGATCGTCCCTCATGAAATGGCTGCAGTTAAACTCTTGACATCACCGGAACATTATTCACACCATTGTATGAAGAAAAAAGTCCTAATACCAGTGAATGGGAATACTTTGAGAAGAACAAAAGTACAAATATGCTGACCTGATGGAGTACGTGATGCTGCTCCTTTTCTAGTGTGTACGTGTGGATTTGTGGGGAAAAAAAGGATTTTAACCATCTCAGGTTCTGACAGTCATCACCTTTTCCACTGTAACTGTCATAACGTCAATAATGCCAACTGATCAAGATTGTAGTTATTTAATAATTATTAAAAAAAAATTAAAACCTGCCTTACTTGCTGGTCTTCGACGCCATGCTGATTTAGCATATTTTAATTCCATTCGGTTCCTGTCCATATATGGCATCCACAAAACCAATTGTACAACTTCGCTTATGATAGCAGGTTTAGTTTAGTTATGTTTATTCACGAATCAATCAAAGTTCAACTTCAAACCTGATTAATATTTTAAATAATAAATATAAAATAATTTGTGAAATGTGTCTCCTTAAAAGCTACCCACAGTCCATCAAAGAGCTTTAAAAGATCAGATAATATGCACCAAATATGTGTGTGTGTGTGTGTGTGTGTGTGTGTGTGTGTGTGTGTGTGTGTGTGTGTGTGTGTGTGTGTGTAT